TACACACTTCAGCAATTTTCAGAATCTGATTGGTATGATTTCCAGAATGAGTACAAGCAGTTTTCTAGTCAGGCAAGACACAAAATGCGATTCGTAACTTCACTTGTTTCCCAAGTAACCGCGTGCGCCTGGTTTCACCCCGAGTCGCACACACAACCGAACCGAATTCGGTGAACACTCGGCAAGTCCGAATCCCGAACTTTCTCGAACGCGCCTTGGTCTCGAAGCACATTTTTCCCCTCGTCAAACTCATTCTCGATGCTTCTCCTTCTCTCTCCCTCCTTCTAGCACATTTCTTCTCGATTTCTCTCCCGCTTCTCACGCCGTAGCCTCTATTCCCCACCGTAGGCCGATTTCCACCGTTTCACACACGCGCTTCCATTTTGCCGTCATTCCGCCGTCGTAGATGCTTTCGCCTTAGGTTCCGTGGTTGGGAAAACCAACCCTAACAATCTCCCCTGTGGTTCCTCAACCACGAACACCACTTGCACTGCTCCCCTGCTCCTTGTAGCCTTCACAGGGTCTAAGTCGGCTTCACGCTCCCCTGCAGCTCCTGCACCTTGAACCTCTGCTTACGTGTCTTGTAGTTGAGCGCCTTGACATCCAAACCTTGAGAGATTTTCTTATGCCTCTCGCTTCTCCTCGGCATCTTTACACCCAACACCTCTCGGGTCTCGTACCCTTCAACGCGTTCATCCTCCTTAAGCACTTGCCCCTTTGCAGTTGCATTCGCCTTTGATCCTTTCACCATGATGTCCCCTTTCACAGCTTCAACTCCCACACACTTCGCATTTACTGCTTCATCTTCAACCACGATCGGTGCTGCAAAAGTGTTGACATCGTCTCCATCTCCACCGTTTACTGCTGCTGCCTCCATGGTCACTATCTCCTCTTCCTGCTTCACTGCTGCCTCCACACTCGCAGCCATATCATCCGAGTCCTCACTCTCATCATCCTCAGTAGGCTCAGGATCCTCATAGATCTCATCCTTATCGTTCATCGCTATCAAGTTCATCTCATAGAAACCGTCACTGAAATAACCATCCGCATACTTCTCCCACTCAGGACCAAACACTGTAACCTCGCCTCTGTCATAAAATATCTTGCTCCCCAAGTCATCAAGCTGTGACTGACTGACCAGATTTACCTTCAAATCCTCAACCAGCAGCACATTCTCCTGTCTCATCTCTCCATACGGACTCTGCAGCACCACGTCACCCTCCCCTGTCACTGGTAACTTCCCACTGTTACCTTGTAGTATATAATCCTCACTCGACTCCCTCACATTCTCCATCCAATCTGACCTGAATGTCATGTGACGCGTGCATCCGCTGTCCATGAACCACGCCCTCTTCTCACGTCCATCTGTCTGAGCCTCCTTCGGTAAACGCACCACGTTCGCGAGATGCGCTCCTCCCAAAATCACATCCTCCTTTTCCGCTTCCACTACATTCGCCTTTGTTGCCACATTCCTCTGCTGCGACGGACCCTTGTAGCTCATGCTTTTCGGGTTGGAGTAGCACTCTGCGGCACGATGCCCGTAACGCCCACAATAATCACACTTGCCGCCAAAACCTCGTTTCTGCTGCCACTCCGCTCCTGCATTTTCTCCTTTATCATTCTCCACAGCTTTGCCCTTGTAGTTTCTGCTTCGAGGATTTTCATAGCAGTTTATCGCTTTATGCCCCCTCTTTCCACACTGGTAGCATGCTCCAAACGCCTTCGTGGCATTCACCATACCCGGCCTCTCCTCGTCGAATTCTGTAACAGCTGCTGCTGCTTTCTTCTTCCTCATCTCCTTCATCGTCTCAAGCGACTGCAGAATATCCTGCAGCTTCATCAAACTTTCCGGCGGTTGGTACGTAAACATACCGATGTCGGATTCCCACTCCTTAGGAAGGCCTTGGATGATATAGTCAATCATCTCGTGCTCCATCTCCGCGGCTCCCATCACCCGCAAATCGTCGTTGTAGCTTTTCGCCCTGTTGATGTAGGTGATGACTTTCTCGCCTTTCTCCATGCTCAGCATCAGCAGTTGTTTCCTGATCGCCTTCTTGCTGACATCGTTGGTGCCCATGTATGTGGACTCCAGGTACTCCCACGCTTTCTGTGCAGAGTTCAGCTCCCTTGCAAACTGGTCCAAATCCACCGCGATTCCATCGGCAACTGAATGACAAAGCTGAAAGAAAACTTGCTTACTTTGCTTTTTGAACGCCGCTATTTTCCCCTTCGTATCCGTCGTGGAAGGCGGAACTTCCTCCATCGTCTCCTCGTCGGGACGGTAGTACGGCAAGAGGTCCACCTTCTCTGCCTTCGAATGAACTTTCTTTCGCCACACGTTGTAGTTGCTTCCATTGAAGCGCTGGGCTTCACTGAGTCCGATCGTCGGTTTCGCCACCAATCGGCCACTCGCAAGGGCCTCGAGAAGAGCCTTCAACTACGGGTCTCCAAGACTCACACTGGAACCCGAACTCGCCTCGTCTCCCATAGCGTAGGCTGTGAACGACTCCTCTTCTCCACTAATTTCACTTAGCGCACCAAGTGAATTCTCGACGATCGACGAGCCCGTTCGTCAAGCTCTGATACCAGTTCTCAGGATCGTAAGCACCTTAGTCGGCAATAGTCTACTTGCTATCGCCTATCGTGTTCTCCATGATCTCCCGAATCCAATGATATGCGCAGCTCTGCTTGAAGTTGTCAATACAAACTTCAGCGATTTTCAGAATCTGATTGGTATGATTTCCAGAATGAGTACAAGCAGTTTTCTAGTCAGGCAAGACACAAAATGCGATTCGTAACTTCACTTGTTTCCCAAGTAACCGTGTGCGCCTCGTTTCACCCCGAGTCGCACACACAACCGAACCGAATTCGGTGAACACTCGGCAAGTCCGAATCCCGAACTTTCTCGAACGCGCCTTGGTCTCGAAGCACATTTTTCCCCTCGTCAATCTCATTCTCGATGCTTCTCCTTCTCTCTGCCTCCTTCTAGCACATTTCTTCTCGATTTCTCTCCCGCTTCTCACGCCGTAGCCTCTATTCCCCACCGTAGGCCGATTCCACCGTTTCACACACGCGCTTTCCATTTCGCCGTCATTCCGCCGTCGTAGATGCTTTCGCCTTAGGTTCCGTGGTTGGGCGAACCAACCCTAACAGAAAGGAGACTCAAACGGTGGTCAACCAGCTTGCTCATCACATGCCCCTTCACCTCCTGCCAGTCTACAAGGGAGTGCGTTGAAGGAACAAGGAGGATAAGAAATTACTAGATCGCTCTCCATACCCTCCCCTCCCCTCTCCGCCCCTCCCTCTCTCTCCATCTCATTTCATCTAATCTAATCTCATCCCATCTCATCTAATCGCATTGCATCTCATCTCATCTCCTCTCATCTCATCTCATCTCATCTCATCTCATCTCCATCGCATCGCATCGCATCGCAATCGCATCGCATCGTATCTCATCGCATTCTCATCGCATTACATCGCATCCCATCGAATTGTATCGCATCGCATCTCATCTCATCTCATCTCATATCATCTCATCTCATCTCATCTCATCTCAGCTCATCTCATCTCATCTCATCGCCTCCGCTCGACTCCCTTCTCACCCATCTACACATGTTTCTTGCCTTCCCACCTCTCCTCCCTTTTCCCCCTTCTCTCGCCCCTTGCCCCCCTCTCCCTCATTCCCCCCTCCCTCTCTCTTCCCTCTCCCCTTATTTTCCCCCGTGTTGCCCATGTCCTCCCTACTTCCTTTCCTTTCTTCTCGTTTGCTCAAGTGCTCAAAAGCGGGCACTCAATTCGTGAGACCACATGACATGTCAGCAGCATCAACGACCAAATCAGAAGAGGGACATATGTGTGCTCCGTCACGCTGCAATGGCTGCAGCAAGCCACCATGGTCCTATGCGAGAAACATTTGTGTGGAAATGGTTCGTTTCGTAACCACTCTAACCGACCTGATTTTGGACCACGAAAGGCTGCGATGTGGAACATTCTAACAGAACTTTCTCCTTGAATTGGCTTCGGAAATCCCAGATGTCCCCTTGGGGTGTCCCCTTGAGGAGTCCCCTTGGGAAGTCCCCTTGAGGGCATCCCAGTGCCGGTTTCCAACAGGGACAGACCTTGGGAGTCGGTGAAAGGCACGTGAACTAGTAGCGAAACTGTATGAACATCTGCGAACTTACACACATGTTAAAAAAGGCATAATTCATTCTCAGTGCGCCTCAGGCAGGCGCCGCTGCGCCTCAAGGCCCGGAGGCTATGTATTATAGCCCACTGGGAAGCAGAGCCGGGCGGCATGGTAGAAAGGGTGAAGGGATAGACCTTGGGAGTCGGCGAACCGAGTGCAGTCGACTCTCGCACCCCCCATGGGTGGGTGGGGTGCGGTGGGGTGGGTGGGATGTAGTGGGGTTGGTGGGGTGCGGTGGGTGGGTGGGGTGCGGTGGGGTGGGTGGGGTGGCGCTGCAACTGCCTGAATGTGGAATGCGACTATTTGTACTTGTTATCTGGGGACCTGCGCTGACTTGTGTTTTCTTGTTGACCTATCATGTTATGTTCCCTCTTGAACACCCATGCATGCAGGGACGCGAACCTGCACGCAAAGTTGCTGAAGGAGAGGAGGGAGGAGAGTTGACTTTTTTTTATTTGTGTTTCCTTGTTTGGACGCATGTGCACCTTCCTTAACACCCATTCAGGGACGCGAACCTGCATGCAAAAACATTGAAGGAGAGGAGGAGAGTTGACTTGCATTGACTTCATTTGTTGTTTTCTTGGTGTTGACTTCTTCCCTCCTTAACACCTCGTGCAGGGAAGCGAACATGCAGGCAAAACATTGAAGGAGAGGAGGGAAGAGGAGAGGAAGAAGTGCGAAGCAGAAGGGGACACCCGCGCTTGGAGCTCCTTCTACATGCGACCTGATACGGTAGGAGAGAGATGATATTAGAGGCACCTGAAAACCTCATGCTTGGAGCTCCTATTATACGCGACCTGATACGGTAGGACAAATGGGCACATGCAATGGTAGGTGCATGAATGTGCATGACTGCGATCCTTGTGCATGCCCCTGATACATTGTGTGAAAAGAGGGAAGCTGGAGGGGACACCCATGCTTGAAGATCCTTTTATATGCGACCTGTTACGGTAAAAGAGATCGGTGCATAGCAAAAGCTCTTGGCAGCTTGCTACTGCAGTGGAGAGGGCATGGATGGGCCATGTCTTTCCATGTTCCCCATGCCGATCCCGATTCTCCCTCCATCTCCCTTCCCGTCCCCATTCCCACCTCCCCATAGGTAGCCGAAGCAGTGGCGCAGAGGTGCGCAGTGGAGTGGCAAAAAGTGATCGCCTGGATTTATCAGCGAGTGACACAGTGGTGCGGCTGGCCCTACGGAAGCCCACATAGAGGGCGGCTACTCCATCCTGCTTGACACTCCATGCCCCATGCTCCCTGCTCCCCCCCTCTCATACCCCCGCCCCAGGTTGCTGAAGCAGAGGAGCAGAGGTACAGGGTGGCAAAAAAATATCTCCTCGACCCATCGACCAGCGACACAGCAGTGCGGCTGGCACTGGGAGAAGCACACATAGTGGCAGACAACAAGCGCGCCCTGCTTGAAGCTCCATTCACCATGCCACCCCCCCCCCCCCCCCCCCCCCCCCCCCCCCCTCCCATTTTCCCCCAGGTAGCTGAAGCAGTAGCACAGAGGTACGGGGTGGCTAAGAGGGATCTCCTGGACTCATCAGCCAGCGACACAGCAGTGCGGCTGGCCCTAGGAGAGGCGCACATAGTGGCGGACACCAAGAGGGCTCTCCTAGACGCCGCCGACATCCACGTGTCCCTCATGGAGCAATTCGCCACCCGCCGCCTTACAGGCTCTCCATTCTGTCTTTTCTGCTCCATGCGCCCTTCCTATCAGGTGGCTGAAGTAGTAGCCCAAAGGTATGGAGTCGCGAAAAGAGACCTCCTTGATCCATCAGCCAGCAACACAGCAGTGCGGCTGGCACTGGGAGAGGCGCACATAGTGGCGGACACCAAGCGGGCTGCTAGACGCAGGCATCCATGTGACCCGCATGGAGCAATTCGCCACCGCTGCCACTGCTGCTGCCAAGGCCGCTGCTGCAAAAGCAGCTGGGAAAGCGGATGTCAAGGCGGATGGTGGTGCTAATGGTGGTGATAGTGGGGGTAGCTTGGCGCGCAGCAAAAGTGTGGTGCTGGTAAAGAATCTGCCTTCAAGGTGGAGGCTGGCGAGCTGGTGGGGTTGTTCCAGCGGTTCGGACCGGTAGCGAGGTTTGTGCTGCCGCCCACCAATACTGTTGCATTGGTAAGTGGGAGGGCAGGGGGTGAGGGCAGTGAGAGAGGGTTGTGAGGCGAGGTGGGAGGGAGGGGGGGGGAGGGGGGGGGGATTTGGGGGGGGGGGGGGGGGGGTCGGGGGTTGGTGACTTGGTGGGTTTGTTTCGGTTGCATGCTTTGTGGATAGACATAGGTGCAGCGCAGCACGGCTGAGGAGGTTAAGCAGCTGGTCTCTTGTTCCCAACTTGTATGACCTTTTCAAGCGTGTCAAGTCTGGTATCCCCAGCTTCCATGCTCGTTTCCTCTCTGTAAACTTTTGAGTCAACTCAGAAGTCAATTCAGGTCAAGTCAATCAAGTATGATGTTCCGAACATGCATGCTCGTTTCCACTCAGTCCCGTACCACTATTCCCCAATTCTTCGAACCCCCCTCCCTCTCCCTCCCTCCCTCCCTCCTTCCCTCCCTCCCTCCCTCCCTCCCTCCCTCCCTCCCTCCCTCCCTTTCCTCCCCCCCTCATTTTGCAAATGCCATTAGGGCTTTAAACCATTGTTTCTTATACCCTCTTGTTTCTTCTAACCTTGTCTTTTCCCTTCCACGCCCCCATCCCTTCGCCCCATTCACCTTTCACCCATCCCCCGTATAACCCCCCTCCTCTCTCCCTCACTCCATGGTCAGGTGGAGATGGCCGATTCTGCTGATGCCAAGAGGGCCTTCAAGGGCCTAGCTTATAAGAAATACCAGTGAGTGGCTTGTAAATTTTATGAGTCTTGCATCCCTATAAGTGAATCAAGCGAGTGCTCCTAATGAACTCCTTAAATATTGTTTTTTTTTTCAACCTGCCCAGTGTAAGTATTTCTGTAAATGCTAGTGAATGTGCTGTCGTTTATGCTAGCACGCCCTTTGGGATGGGAATCAGCATAACGTGACGCTTCTCTGTACTTCTGAAGATGACCTTTTTACTTCTTTCAGAACACTTGATCCTCCACGTTTCCATTCTTAACCAGAACAGGCATGTGTCCCTTTCATTCCTTCTCCTCTGTACCGCTATGAACACCCTTGAACCGCATTGACCCTCTTGTTCTCATTGTGAACCGACCAGGCATGTTCCTCTGTACCTGGAATGGGCACCAAAAGGAATCCTCCTAGAACCCGCAACGCCATCGAACGCGCCAACCACAACAGCAACAGCAACTTCTAGGGAAGCGGGTGGGGGGCCAGGAGAGGGAAGAGCAAGAGAAGAGAACGAGGGAGGCGAGATGAAGAGTGTAAAGAAGCAGGGAGCAGTGGGGCTTTTGCCTGTGGTGATGGATGGGAAGGCGGCCAGGCGTGTGGCTGCTGAGGCGGAGACCGTGGGGGGAGTGGCAGGGAGAGATGGGGGAGGAGAAGGAGGGGAAGGGCATGCGGTGGAAGGGGAGGAGGATGGGCAGGTGAGCCTAGCAAAAGGAGGAACAGAGGGGGTGGGTGGGATAGGGTTGAAGGATGTGCTGGGAGGGTGGAGGGAGGTCTGAATTGAAGGAAGCCCAACTGTTGCCATAATGGGAGGCTGATTTTGTGTTACGTGCTGCCTCATGTTTTCTGCTGCCTCGTGTTAAGTGCGTGTTCCATGTCAAGACGTTGACCTTCCGTGCGTCTCCACCCTGTGCCATACCTCTTTCTCTCTCTCAAATGACGTCTCTGCCTCAAATCCCCCACCCCTCTCTCAACCAATCCCAACCTCACTGCCCTCCCTTTCCTTCTTCCCACTCTCTTTGCTCCACCACCCTGTTAGAATATAGCATTATGTATGTTTTTATTTGTGCGACGGTTACACCCTAAACTGGGTGTACACTCTGGGTCAAGGCGACCCAACCAATTCTGGTTGGGTGCCCCAAACACAACTCGACCACAATGAAGGGGGGGGTAAATAATGGTCCCCTCCAATAATTGTTGGTTACCCCAGCAATTGTTGGTCGACCCAATCTGATTGGTCCGCCAATAAATGCTGAGGGTACCCCACCTAGCTCCCAACTTCTCATCTCCTATATGTACCCACACTCTTTCTAATCAAGACAACACTGAGACTCTTTCACACCCGAGCCCACAAGCCACAGTTTGTTTGTCAAGATCCTCAGCTTTCCAACTCTCCATTCTCCTTCCCCTTTTTTCTCTTCCCACTCTCACATCTCGTCCCCTCTTGTATTTTCTTTCCCTGCATCCCAGCCCACGAGCCACAGTGTGTTTGCGAAGAATCTGAGCTTCACCACCCCTCGTTCCTCTTCTACTACCTTCCTGTCCCCCCTCCCCTCCTTCCCCCCACCTTCTGCTTCCTCCCTCTCTCGCCCCTCCCTCCATGCCAGCCCACGAACCACAGTGTGTTTGTGAAGAATCTGAGCTTTGCACTACCGAGGCGCGGCCCAAGGAGCACCTGCAGAAGCTTCTTGCGTCGAGCTCTCACCTCCTACTGCCATCCTTTTACCCCTCCTCACCTCACCACTCTCCCAACTGTTTCCTTTCCCTGCATGCCAGCCCACGAGCCACAGTGTGTTTGTGAAGAATCTGAGCTTTGCCACCACAGAGGCACAGCTGAAGGAGCACTTGGAGAAGCTTCTTAGAAGCAAGCACACCGGGCCAAGGGGGGCCCATCCATACGCAGCGTCACGGTGAGATGCGGATTTGGTGCGAGGTAGGGGGGGGGGTGGGGGGGGGGGGGGGGGAGAGGGGGGAAGAGAGGGGGGGGAAGGGAGGGGTGGGGGTCTTGTGCTCATATATGAATGGAGAGAGCAGCTGATGAGCCCTTGCACTTTTTACCTGTGATTTTCACTGGCATGCACGTTGCCTTTTGTGCGCATTCTGCTTGTTCCTCAATTCCCTTGAGTATTTTGTATGCAAATGTTCAAATATATGTCTAGAACATATGATGTATATAGTATATATAAATACCTCCCTCATGTGTGAGCCCCTTGTGGCAAATAATGCATACGGCTCAACAGTCGTCCAACTCTGCTCCTCCCTCACCCGCCTTGGTTGTGAACTCACTGCACATCAAGAAGCGGGAGCAGAACAGCTAGAAGCTGTCGATGGGGTTCGGGTTTGTGGAGTTTGGATCGGTTCTCGCTGCATACCGCGCGTGCAAGCTGTTGCAGGTGAGTTGTGCAGCGTGGTCCTCATAATTTCACTTATGCATTCATGCATGTCCATCCACATCCAGCACATGTTTTGTATATTCTTGTTTGGATTCATGTAGTTTGGCTCTAATCACTGCAGATGATTCGTGTGGTGTGGTCTATATGCCTTCTGCATGCATGCACGTCCGGTACAATTTGGGGAGTGGGGAGGGGGGCAAGAACAACTGTAGGCAACCTGCTGCCTACCCCTACACTCCTATGCCTTCTTTGAGGCGCCTCAAAATTCGCTGCTTACCCCTACACCCCTATGCCTTCTGAACACCTCTATTCTACTCCTCCTTTCTGCCCTAACCGTGTTCAACTCTTTCATCAGGGAACTGTGCTGGATGGACATGCATCGCTGCTGCAGTTGAGCAAAGGGGAGGCGAAGGGGGGTGAGGAGAAAGAAGATACAGCAGGGGCAGGGGCAAGGGGAAGGAGAGCTCGACCAAAGTGATGGTGCGGAAGGTGGAGATTTGAGGGTAACGGCTTTGAATGTTTTGCAATATGCTTCATTGGGGTAGACAATCAATAGTTTGCCTTCCGCCCATCCCATCCCCATTCAATTTTTCTTTCTTCCATTCGTAACCGTGTGCTCCTTCCCTCCCTTCTTTTTAAATTCACGTTCCTTGCGCTTCTTAGCCAGCCCTCATACTCATACCCATTTCCGCTCACCTTTTTGGTGCCTCAAAGTTATGTCTACTCTCATCCCCACCTCGCCTTGTCCCTTTTCTCACCTTCTTTTGTTTCCTTCCCCCAAACCCCCACCTCCAACCATTCGAGGCCACTAAGAGGGACATTCAGCAGCTCTTTACACCTTTCTCTATCTTTTCCCCCGGCCATCCTTCCCTTCCCTCACCCCTTTTTCTACCCTCCAGCCCCTCGAGGCCACTAAGAGGGCCATTCAGCAGCTCTTTGCACCTTTCTCTATCTTTTCCCCCGGCCATCCTTCCCTTCCCTCACCCCTTTTTCTACCCTCCAGCCCTTCGAGGCCACTAAGAGAGACATTCAACAGCTCTTTGCACCTTTCGGGCAGTTGAGCTTCATGCGCTGGTGAAATCAGAACGGGCAGGTACTGTCAACGGGAGTTGTAAGTTGGCCCCGTCCTCGCTTGGGCGGAGCCGACTTCGTGGTCGGGTGTGAGGGGAGCAGCCGACCCGCAGTAGTGGGCGAGCTGGTTGATGAGGAGGTCAACCTGCACGGGGGACACTGCACGGGCGCCGACTTCAGGGTGGCGCCAACTTCAGGAAATTGACCTGGGAAGTCGACCTACGGAGGGCGTCGGCTTGGTGACGCTAACTTGGGGCTGCCGACTTGGGTGGTCGGATGACAGACCCGCTGGTCGACTTGGTGGTTGGTCGACCAGGCGTGATGTCGACCTGGTGGTCGACGGAGGAGGGGCCGACGTCGACCACGATTCAGGAGGTTGAGTAGCCGGGCATCAAGTATTAGGGCGTCAACTTGGTGACGCCGACTTCGGGTAGCTGACTTGGGTGGTCGGCTAACAACTACGCTGATCGACGTGGAGCTGGTCGACCAGGAGTGACGTGGCTGATCAGATGCAGTCGTCAGCGCCAGGCTGACTTGGTGTATGCGTTGTGCAGGTGGCAAGGCTCATCGCGCCAATCATCTGCGAGCACCTGCAAAGCTGGTGCAATGCTGTACTGCGAGAGCAACGCTAGAACGCCGTCAACATACAGCGTTGGCACGCCGGCGATTTTGCACTCCTGGAGCGCGGTCGACCAAGTCATGCTGGAACGCGTTCGACCATGCTGCGGTGGCAGTCCACCGATCTGAATGTTAGCTCTGATGTAGTCTTGCCATGCAAACTTCATTGTACCATTGTTGTCAACTTTCTCTAGTGAAACTCTTGCCAATTCTCCCCATGAACAATCAAGCTGTGTGTGCACTAGGAAAACGACTAAGGACCAACGAACGTAAAGATCACACAAGCACCCGTGCCTACCCCGTAGTCTAGCTCTCGTTGTAGTAGTTATCTCCGCAGGTACTACTTTTACACAGCAACTGGTAAACGTATCTTGGTGGGTTGTTACACTCACCTTAGTCCTGGTTTAATTATTCCAATTATGAGGATCCTCATAATCAATCTGCAATAAAAAATGAGAGTCTTTCCAGAAATTGCCTACCTTTTCCCGCAAGCTTGACGTTGTTCATGAAGAATTTCCTCATTATTATGCAATTCCCTTTCCCTAATTCCTCTTTTCTCCCAGCTTGCTCGCCATTTTTCAAAACCTTCCTCCCATTCCCCACGACCCCCAAACCCCACCCTCCCTCGTGCCCCTCTTCCCCCAACCCTCAGCTGAAGAGCATGCGGCTGGCGCGCAAGTTTGACAGGGGCCACCGGAGGTTTGCGTTTGTGGAGTTTGCCAGAAAGAGGGAAGCAGAGAGTGCCTTTGATGCGCTCAAGAGCACTCACCTGTACGGCCGCCACCTCGTGCTTGAACGGGCCAAGGAGGGTGAGGGGGCTGACGAGCTACGTGCCAAAACTGCCGCCCAGTTTCTGGACCAGGCCCTCAGATTGGTTTAAGGGTATACTGATCGATCAGCGTGCCCCGGCCGCCCAGGTGTCCAAATCAGCGTTCATGGTTTTTTTTTATACTGATTTTGCCAGTGTAAAAATCATAAGTAGACTGAACCATCAGTGTAAAAAAGAAAAACAAAGTTGAATCACCAATTCAACTCAAAGTTTGCCGCTGCGAGAGTTCATTCCAGCGATGCAAAGCACGTCGGCACACGATCTGCTGTACAGCGCATGGCATTTCCAAGTGTGTGGGTGGGGTCTCGTGAATCCCGAGCCAGGTACATACTATACACACGCGTACCCCCCCCCCCCCCCTCCCAAATCGGTCAAGTCCGTTTTAGTGTGACTCACGACACTACACTGATTCGTCAGTGTTACTTCTACAGCAACACGGAAAATGGTCAGTGTGGCAAGGTAGTTTATACTGAAATTTCAGTGCAAAATTGAAGCATATGCTGAATTTCCAGGGAGAACGAAAATCACAGCTACAAAATCAGCCTAATCAGCGTGTTTTACGCTGATATCTGAGGGCCTGTTCTGGACGGCGGGGCGGGTGGCAGAAGAAGCGCGCCAATCTGAGGCAGGGCATGGATGATAGTGATGTGGCGTTCCGGGAAATGCAGTTTGGTTGAAAGTTTTTTTACTCTGAATCATTGTGATTGTTAGTGGAACTATTATATCCAGTAGTATCATTCAAACACATCGTGTACTTCTATTGCAGGTTTGACGTTGTACTGTATGCGTTCTTGTACTGCTTCCTAGAACCGTAAAAGACAAGAGATCACAGGTGTCAGATTGTTTGATTTGGGCAGTGAATCATTCC